TTTCGGGTAGTCCTCCGAAGGTCGTTTCAGTATTAGTTATATATCAAATATACATATATAGACATAAAAGTACTTCCATATTCATACTTATCAGTACATCATCAGGAAGTTACCATCGGGGTAACATAGGATCATACTACGATAAATTCTAGATCAACGAGTCAGTTCATTCAAGTCAATACTTATTAAGAGTACATATACATCGATACTAGAACAAGTAACATTTCATTACATATACACGAATACGTTAACAATTGTGATCCACTATATGGGAGCATGCCTTAATTGTCATGACCCGAGTTGTAGCCAGAGTCTCTTGAAGGGAGAGCATGAGTTTGCGTATAGATCTATACTGGATTGACTATCCTACACCTCGCTGGTAGCTACAGTGGGACCGGCAAGTCTGCGTGTCACACCCCCAAACTAGAACGGCGGAAATGTTCGGGGGCGGAGGACAACATATTCAGTATCATAACAGTTCATAGAAAGGAAAGTACACACCACCATACATATATAAACGTTTTAAAAATGTTTACATAATTATATTCATTACATGTTCAAAAGATAAATACATAAACATCTTTCAAAAAGAAGTAATTAACGCTAGCGCGTCAATCCCAAAAGTTGATTTCCAAACCTGCTTAGCGGTTCCCTGAGAATACAAGTTATTTCAAGGAGAAAGTGTCAACAATTAAGTGGTGAGTTCATGAGTAGTGTTTTGAGAAAATGTACGCCATTCGAAAGTTCGTGTATGTATTCCAGAAAACGCAGTATTTCAAAGGTAAAGAGTTATGGTTTGTTGTGTTGTAAATGAATGTATTAGATCCAGAAAATCCCATATTTTCCCTAATGGTTAAGCTATGAATTGTTGTGTTTTCCAAGAAAATCCCTTATTTTCTTATAAAAGTATGAAATGCATATGAATGTTCGTGTTATAAGTTGTAAATAATTGCACCAGGAAAATTCCTTATTTTCCTATTAGTTGTTTGGTTTGTATACATGAAAAACCCTTATTTCCTAACATAACTGGCAGTCTCTAAGACCGAAAATTTCAAGTAACCGACGTTCTTAAAAGTTGTGTCATAGTTTCATATAATAAAGCTATACGAAGATCGCATTTGTTAGATGAAGAATAGTTTTAATAGCTACTCGTTCATAAAAGCATAATACCATAATAATTGTATATCCGATGAGTTTTATAACCATACTAAACATAATATGCCTGTAACGATGTTCTTCAGGCGTCGCAGCGTTATGACAACTGTCACCCCAAAGGACGGACTGTAGCTAACAGTCAGGGCGCGGGATCATGACTTCCCGTATAGATCTATAAACATTTCACACGTTCTCCTAACGGGAGACTCTGGTTATAGACAGGACTTGCGGCATTACTTTCGAATAAGAAAGTAGTGTTTGAAGATATACACGTCTCATGGATTCTCAACTAAGTCTGTATTAAAGTGATAGTTTTGTATGCAAAGTTTATCCTTTTTCACAATGTTTGGCAAAGCATAAATCATAAGTTTTTAGAATGTATAAAACGACTTAGCAACGAAAGGTACTTTGAAATCACTATATACTTTGTATAAGTCTAATGCACACAAAGTATGACAAGAGTTATCTATAGTAGTAAGGAATTACAAGTGATTTATTCGATAAAAACAAGTGAAGTGAAACTTTATAAAATACACGATAATAACCGTATGTTTACTTGTATTCCCCCCCTTATAGAGTATAAAAGCATTTAAAATGTATTTAAAGTGTGTTTGAAATGGGTATGAACTCACTTGATTGATTAAAGAAGGTGTGACGAAAATCGAACAGAACTTTGGCTTGAAAAGGCGGATTTTCTCGGGAGTAAAATCGACCTTCGGGACTTGCACAAAATGACCAGGGCTTCGGGGTAGTGCGAGCACGGAAAATGAGGCAAAACACAAGAAAAGTGAGAGAGTGAGCAATTTTTCCGGGAACCCTCGCATCCCTTTTATTGGAGGCTGGAACCGCCTCGGTACGCGGGGCGTACGCGTACGTCATGCATGACCGAGTCCTCGACTGCCTCAAACTTCGGATGGGATGGGGGGGGGGGTAGGCTCGCATAGGGGCGATGTGGATGATCCGAGGCCAAGGCATTGAGTACGCTGGGCATACTCGTGTACGCGGGGCGTACTTGTGTGACTCAGACTTCGGATAATACCGAAGTTTTGAATAAAAATATATATTAATTATTTATCAAACTTCAAAAACTCATATCTCCTTCATACGAACTCCGTTTTCGACGTTCTTTATATACACACGTAGGTGAGACTAAGATCTACAACTTTCATTTACATTCCATGAGCAAATTCCGAAATTATTTTTATTATTTATTTATTAAATTGACGTGATTAAGGAATTTCTTTAAAAATTCATAACTTTTTCATACGATGTTCGATTTGAGCGTTCTTTTGATGCACGTTTGTAGTTTAACGATATCTATGACTTTCATTTATATAACTAAGGTCAGAAAGTGTTTTATTGAAACTTTGCGTTTTTACGTAACCTCGTATCGCCGGTTTTTGTCGGAAAAACTTAGAATGGTCATAACTTCTTCGTTATAACTCGGATTTTTGTGTTATTTATATGCTTGGAAACCTTAAGACGATATTTACTACATAGCGTACTCCAAACAGGGTTTTTGAATACTTCATTTTTCGATGATATTCTAATCCCTTTTTTAAAGAGGTTACAAGACTCGATCTTTGATGACCTGAAATGACGGGTTGTTACATCATCCCCCCGTTATAGGGAATTTCGTCCCGAAATTTTAATACAAAAGGAAAGTTTTAGGGGCTGAGGAAGAGGTGTGGATACTTCTATTGCATTTGATCTTCTCGTTCCCATGTGAACTCAGGTCCCCTCTTAGCATTCAATCGGACCTGTACTATTGGAATGCGGCTCTGTTTAGTTCGTTTAACCTCCCTATCCATGATCTCGACGGGTTCTTCCACAAAGTTAAGATTTTCATTTAGTTCGATTTCATCAAGTGGAATTACAAGTGTTTCGTCGGACAAACACTTCTTCAGGTTCGATACGTGGAATACTGGATGTACTTTGTTAAGCTCGATTAGAAGTTGGAGTTTGTAGGTCACTGGACCAGCTCTTGAAATGATTTTGAAGGGTCCAATGTACCTAGGATTTAGCTTCCCATGTTTTCCAAAGCGTATCATGCCCTTCCAAGGTGAGACCTTCAGTAGTACACGATCGCCAATCTGAAACTCCAAGGGTTTACGTGTTTTGTCGGCATAGCTCTTTTGCCTATCCCTTGAGGATTTCAGCCGTTCTCGTATTTGCACGATCTTTTCAGTAGTTTCTATGATGATCTCCGGACTAGTGAGGGTGCTATCAGGGACTAGACCTTTTGCTAATTGTGTGTCGCCCACTTCCGTCCAGCACAGAGGTGATCTGCACTTACGGCCGTAAAGGGCTTCAAATGGAGCAGCCTTGATACTAGTATGATAACTATTGTTATAAGAGAACTCGACCAAAGGTAAGTGAGCATCCCATGCCTTACCAAAGTCGATTACACATGCTCGCAGCATGTCTTCCAAGGTTTGGATCGTCCTCTCACTCTGTCCGTCAGTTTGGGGGTGATAGGCTGTACTCATGTCCAATCTTGTTCCCATGGATTTTTGCAATGATTTCCAGTATCTGGAGGTGAATCTGCTGTCTCTGTCCGAGATGATAGACATTGGCACTCCATGGAGTCGTACGATCTCTTGAATGTAGATTCTCGATAGCTTTTCCATTTTATCAGTTTCCTTGATCGGTAAGAAATGAGCGGACTTGGTTAATCTATCGACGACTACCCAAATAGTATCTTTGCCACCCTGAGTTTTGGGCAGTTTCGTTATGAAGTCCATGGAAATCTGCTCCCATTTCCACTCAGGTATTTCAGGTGGTTGGAGTAGCCCTGAGGGTTTCTGGTGTTCTATTTTTATTTTGGCGCAAGTCAAACACTTGCTCACATATGTAGCGATCTCCGCTTTCATGTTTCGCCACCAGTAAAGTTGCTTGAGATCTTGATACATCTTGTCTGACCCGGGGTGTATGGAGTATGGAGTCTTGTGTGCCTCACTCATAACTACCTCTTTGAATCAACCAAACTTGGGTGTCCATATTGGGTTCATGAGGTAGCGTGCTCCATCACTCTTGATTTCTAAGTTCTTGTCCATTCCCCTAAGGGTCTCACCCGTCACGTTTTCGGGTTTCAAGACCTCTATTTGAGCTTCCTTGATTTGTGCTGATAGGTGCGAATGGATCGACATGGCTAATGACTTCACTCTTCGGCCAGAGTACTCCTTACAACTAAGGGCATCCGCCACGATGTTTGCCTTTCCGGATGATAGCGAATCTCACAGTCATAGTCGTTGAGTAATTCGACCCAACGTCGCTGTCTCATGTTTAACTCCTTCTGGTCGAAGATGTGTTGGAGGCTCTTGTGGTCTGTAAAGATAGTGCACTTGGTACCATATAGGTAGTGTCTCTAGATTTTAAGAGCGAAGACCACCGCCCCAAGTTCTAAGTCATGAGTGGTGTAGTTGACCTCATGCGTTTTCAGTTGTCGTGAGGCATATGCAATAACTTTTCCCCTCTGCATTAGCACACAACCCAGCCCTTGCTTCGAAGCATCACAATACACCACAAAATCTTTGGTCCCCTCTGGAAGAGAAAGGATGGGTGCACTGCAAAGGGCCTGTTTCAAGGTCTGAAATGCAGCATCTTGCTTTTCTCCCTAGTGGTAGGTCACACCTTTCTGGGTTAAAGCGGTAAGAGGCTTTGCGATGCTAGAGAAA